TTACCTGAACCAAAACATCCTCAACTAGCCCCTCTGGATATGCATTTGTGCGATCAGCTAGTTGGATTATGATGGCTGTTTCTTTAAGTGGCCCAAGATTTAGAGAAGAAAAAATGGTATTTGGCATCACATTGATTGACGCCCCTAAATCTAGCATTGCTTTCCTGATTGGTGTATTCCCTATCTTACAGGGGATCGTGAACATACCTGGATCTCCACACTTTGGTGGAAGCTTTCTTTGGAGCATTGCTGACACATTCTCTCCCACCGCTATTCTTTCGTCCCCTCTCAGTTTCCTCTTATGGGTGCACAGATCCTTGAGAAATTTAGCATATTTCGGTATCTGCTTGATTGCATCCAGTAAAGGGATGTTAATCTCCACTTTTCGGAACACATCTAAAAGCTCTTTTTCCTTCTCTACCTTCTTTGTCTTCTCCAGCCTGCAAGGAAAAGGAGGTAAGTTAGATTTAATAGTGGGCGAAGGAGTGAAGGTTACCTTAGGATCCTTGCGAACACGCCCTTCCTCTTCAATTTCCTTCTCTATCTCCTCTTCACCCTTGCTTTTTGGATTCCCCTCTTTAGGCCCTTCCAGTGTCTTACCACTCCTCAGTGTCATGGCACTTACATTCCTGGGATTTACTTCCGGTTGTGAGGGTAACTTTCCATAAGAGTGGGACTCCAAGCGATTGATAGCAGTTGCCAGTTGGCTTATTCGAGCCTCCATATCCTTCATGCCTGCTTTTGTGTCCTGCTGGAACTGAGTGGTGCTCATGGCTAAGGTTCTAGTCTCTTGCTGGAGCTGGGCGGTTGTCGTAGCCAGGTTGGTAGTAGTCGTGGCCAGGTTTTTGACTAGGTCCTCCAGAGAACTTCCTGAGTTGGAGGACGAGGGTTGCGATTTTGGTTGCCATGGCTGGTGGAATCCTGGTGGACGATTTGGAAATGCATTTTGTTGCCTGTTCCCATAACTGAGATTGGGATGGTCCCTCCAGCCCGGATTGTATGTATTAGAGTATGGGTCGTACTGCCTGCGGGGCGCGGGCACGCCTCCGGCCATGTTTACCTGTTCCGCCCCGTCCTCTTGCAAAATGGGGCACGAGTCTGTGCAATGGTCCATGCTAGTGCATATTCCACACACCTTCGCTCGTGGCGCGTCTCTCATGGCTAATTGCCTAACAACTGACATCAATTCTGACATTTGCTGCTGTAAGGATGAAATCTCTACCTCGTTGACTCTACGGGGTGGGTTGCTCTCACGGAAACCAAATTGCTGGGAGTTCTCTGCCATGGCTTCGATGAGCTCCCACGCTTCCCGTGGTGTCTTGTTTGCAAGTGCTCCCCCACTCGCAGCATCAATGATACTCCTATCTGTTGATTGGAGCCCTTCGTAGAAGTATTGGATTAACAGTTGCTCACTAATTTGATGTTGCGGGCATCTAGTGCACAACTTGTTAAACCTTTCCCAGTATTCGTACAAGGACTCACCGGGGTATTGTTTAATGCCGCAGATCTCCTTCCTCAAACTCGCAGCCCGGGATGCAGGGAAGAATTTTTCCAAGAATTTCTTTTTCAGCTGCGCCCATGTGGTAATACTACCTGCTGGTAGGTAGTACAGCCAATCTTTTGCTGCATCCTTGAGAGAGAAGGGGAAAGCTCTAAGTCTTATCTGCTCCTCAGTCACCCCAGGAGGTTTCATACTAGAGCAAACTACCTCGAACTCCTTGACGTGCTTGTGGGGTTCTTCGCCAGAGAGGCCATGGAAAGAAGGTAGGAGGTGAATCAGCCCCGACTTCAGTTCGAAAGCAGTATTCTCAGCCAGAGTGGGGAATGTGATGCATAAGGGCTGGTGAGTCAGCTCCGGAGCAGCCAGCTCCCTCAATGTTTGGTTGTTGGCCATGCTTACTTCGTCCTCCGCTGACTCGTTTGCAACAAATAAGTGCCCTCCTTTTTGTCTCTTGGTCTCTTGCCGCCGCCTACGCGCTGCCTTCTCAACCTCGGGATCGTATACCAATTCACCTGTGCGAGAAGAACGGGGCATAAACTAGCAAGAATACCAAGAAGAATAGAATAAAATAAAAATAAAATAAAAACTGAATTTGAAAAGAAACAAATAATCCAAATGCCAGCTCCCCGGCAACGGCGCCAAAAATTGACAGGTGCCGAACCTGTGCAATAATAAATACCTACTCGAGAAAAATACAGATTTTTGTATATAGCGGTGAGTAGGGTCGAATCCACAGGGAGCAGGTAGGAAATTATTTCTTTCCAAATCAGTAGAACAGAATTGGAGGATTTTCAATGGGAGGCACACAAATAAAATAAAATAAAACAAACAAAATTCAAAACTAACTCACAAAGTACAATTCACTGAAAATAGCAATTAACAAAAGTTCTACCCAAAGGATCAACTGCTCAGGCACGGTCCAATTAAATGCTCATCGATGCAAAGATATTTCACCCATTTATCACTAGGTTGGTTATAGCCATCAATAAGCTCTGACAACCAGCTCTTCCTTACTTTTTCGACAGTCAAGGTACGACCATTGACTGCTTCTCTAACCAGATAACAACCCTAGGTACGACCGTAGGAATTTAATTACCCAATTGCATTAAAGCCAGAAGAACCCAACCCTAACCAATAAACACGCTAAGAGGGTTTATTTAAATTAGATCTTGCGTTTCCCCATCATAAAACCAATTATGGTGGTTGCCACGGGGTGTTAACTAAATGAACAATTACGGATTCTATTTAATTAACGTGGCAGTAGGCTATTAAATTAAATCAAATACCCGGCCGTTGATATTCAATTAATCAAATACCCATGAACAATTAATTCAGGAAACGCACGAATAGCAATTAATTGGAGGAAATAATGAAGATTCGGTTAGATCTCACAGATATTATGGACCGCGCCTTCGCGTCAACCTTTGGGTAGAGGAGAAAATTAGCCGCTCCTCATCGTGTCAATCCCGCGTGACTTAATTGAATTCATTCAATTAATTGCCGAAGAATTGAAAAAGATGAATTAACGTAGGAACTGCTGAAAAAGCTTCGCTTCCCTTTGTTGGGTTTCGTGTTCGTACCCCTGGAGCGAAAGTAGAAGCAAAAGTCGAATAGGAAAAATTGTACAGAAGCCAAAAGCAAAAGCTACAGCAACGGAGAAAATCCCCAATGTCTGACCCCGAGCCGCAGAAGACAAAAGGAAAAACTAAAAAGCGTCTGACAAGTCCTCCCCCAAAAAGTAGAAAAAGAGAACCTAAGGCTAAAAAAAGTTGTCGTTTGAATCTTGCTTTCCTTTTCTTTATATAGCCGCTGCACATCAGCATTGAAAAAGGAAGAGACGTCTGGAGCAAATCAGCTAATAGAGGCCATCTCCTTTGGAGTTTTGATCCTACGCTTCGGGTTCACGTGGACCACGGTCCGTCTTTCGGTTTCGTCCGCCTTCTAAGGCGTGGCCACGCTCTAAAATGAAAAGTCTTCTGGAAATTCACCCTGCGAGATCATTTTCATGCCGACCACCTACAATTCACACAAATCTCGAATATGAGTGAAATTTCAATTTTTAGCACCGTGAATAACCAAAATTAGGACAAAATAGCAGTGCAAAATACGTCAAATAACCATTCTATCAATCCAGAAGTTGGTTTGTTCTAACAAAAATAGCACATATCTTGCACAATATTTAGAGTGTGTTTGATAAATATAAATCTGAAATTTGAAATTTAAAATTTGAAATATGAATCCATTAAATTACTAAATGTTAAGTATCATGATACAACTTATTATCTAAATCTGAATACTGAATACAGTATGCCTGTTAGATAATTGTAAACAACTTAATACCGAATTTCATATATTTCATAATTTTGTTATTATGTTGATTTATTCATTAATGATGATGTTAAAATGTTATACTTTATTTATAATATGTATAATTTAATTTCATTGAAAATAAGATATTAAAAAATAGCAAAAAATGAACCACATATTAAAATAAAATTATAATATAAAAAATGTGCTTGGGAAAATAAATTTATTTGACAAAAAACAAACTTTAGCACAATTTTCAATAGTTTATTTTTGCTCATATGTCAATGTCTGTAGATATGTAACAAAGTAATAAATTTTGCATTTGCATTAAATGGTAAGTGAATAGCTTCTTGCTTATTTTTTAAATATGTTTTATTTAGAGAATTTAGAGGCACTTAATTAATTAAAATGTTCTATTTTTTGACAACACACACCTATGGATATGTTAAGGCCTGAACCCATGAAATTTAAGTACTTAATTGTATTCTCAAATAAAACCTTACTCTTATCTTTCCATATTCCCAATTGAAAAGGCAAAAAATACAAGAAAAATTTAGAGTTATAGACTGTTTCCGCCAAACGAATTTTCAGAATACTGCCTCGAGGAAAGAATTGTTACCAAAGATTTTCAGAATTTTCTGCTCCTTTACAGCTAGGAAAACCATGAATACATGGAGCAGATAATATGGTCCTGATGGACAAGTTAATGGTCAAAATATATTCGTATTTTCTTAGGATACTATAGAATAGTGAAAAAGATTTTGAAAAATTTAGTTAACTTTACATGCATTTACTTTAAGATGTCTTTTTAATTTGATTTCGAAACAAGTCAATTTCAAAATGTCGACGGTGCCAGACTGTGGCCAATTTTTTGCTTTTGGCCTATCAATTTTCTCGGTTAATTCAAAACGTCCATCAATGATCTCAACTTGTTGATTTTTATTGCATCCACATTTTGTAGGTGAAATTCCAAAAGAAATTGGTAACTCAACTATGATGAAAACACTAGATTTCAGATCAAACAACTTAGCAGGTATGACCATTTATTTTACAAAACTTACAGAATATAGAGACTTATATATTTTAATGTATATGCTCAATTTTATTTTGGCAGGTGCAATACCACGAGAGGTTGGTAACTGCTACTTTCTCCAACACATCAACATGGATTTCAGTAGCTTAACTGGTTCCATACCAATAGAGATCTTCAACCTCTCAAAGTTGATTATTATGTCACTTACACAAAATCAACTTTCAGGCAATCTGCCATCCACATTCGGTTATAGGCTTCCCAATCTAGAAGAGCTTTACCTCGGCATTAATTCCTTCTCTGGAGTATTACCTACCTCAATCTCAAATTCTTCTAAACTTCGTAGAGTAGATTTTGGTACTAACAAGTTCACAGGTCCAATTCCTACTTCCCTGGGTGACCTAAGTCTCCTGGAACTACTGAATCTATTCAGCAACAATTTAACGAGCGACTCCGCATCTCAAGAGTTGAGCTTCATCACTTCATTGACAAAATGCCAATATTTGTCAATATTGGTCTTGAGTGGCAATCCATTCAATGGGATCATTCCGGATTCGGTCAGTAATCTTTCAACTTCCCTTCAATTGTTGTCTGCATCAGATTGTAAAATCAAGGGCAGCATTCCTGATGGAATTGGAAATTTTAGTAGTTTGATCCAGTTAGATCTATCCAACAATGAGCTAAATGGGTCGTTGCCAGCTAGGATAAAAGATTTACGAAAGCTTCAAGGAATGGATCTTAGTGTGAACAAATTAAGCAAAGTGCCCCTAGAGTTTCTTTGTGCTCTCTATGACTTGGCTACAATAGATCTTGGACAAAATCAAATTATGGGCTCAATACCAAAGTGCATGGGAAATTTTACTTCCCTGAGGAATCTTAACCTAAGTCACAATAGACTAAATTCTTCCCCACCTGTAGAAATATGGAACCTGAAAGATCTCTTGGAGCTTGACCTCTCCTCAAATTTGCTGAGTGGATCTCTGCCGCAAGCAATTACGAATATGCATATGGCAAATTTGGTAGATTTGTCAACCAATCAGTTCTCGGGTGCCATTCCTGACACAATTGGAGAGATCCAGAACCTGCAAAATCTCTCTCTAGCACACAACAGATTGCAAGGATCAATCCCAGAGTCGATCGGCAAGATGTTAAGCTTGGAGTCATTGGATCTATCACATAACTTTCTCTCTGGATCGGTTCCAATGTCAATGGAGAACCTTCGGTATCTTAGACATTTCAATGTCTCTTTTAACAATTTAATTGGTGAAGTTCCTTCCAGAGGGCCTTTTATCAACTTCACTGCCGAATCCTTCACTGCAAATCAAGCACTGTGTGGAGCTCAAAGGTTTCATGTGCCTCCATGCCCAAATATTTCAGCTCATAGATCGAGAACAAAAAAAGTGCGTCAAACGATTTATATTCTTCTGGGGATGATAATAGCAATGGGAGTCTTGTCCTTTGGACTTTTTTACCTAAGGTATGGAAAGAAAGATGGACTTTCCAGTGGTGCAAATTTATCCTTAATTGCAATGCCAGAAAGAATTTCATATTTCGAACTTCTAAAAGCAACTAATGGGTACAGCGAAAGCAATTTGTTGGGAACTGGAAGCTTTGGATCTGTTTATAGAGGTACTCTTGATGATGGAAGGGTCGTGGCTGCTAAAGTTTTCAATTTACAAGTCGAAGGAGCATTCAGGAGTTTTGATGTAGAATGTGAAGTACTGCGCAATCTTCGCCACAGAAACCTTACAGGAGTCATCACCAGTTGCTCTAACCCTGAGTTTAAGGCATTAGTGCTTGAGTTCATGCCTAATGGGAGTCTTGAGAAGTGCTTGTATTCGCACAACTATTTTCTGGATCTGATGCAGAGATTAGACATATTGATTGATGTTGCATGTGCATTGCAATATCTCCACTGTGAGTATTCAACTCCAGTAATTCACTGTGATTTGAAACCGAGTAATGTCCTGCTGGATCAAGACATGGTTGCCCATCTAAGTGATTTTGGCCTTACAAAGTTGTTGGCTGAGGATAACAGCATCACATACACCGAAACACTAGCCACACTTGGCTATCTCGCACCAGGTGAAGAATTTTCTAATACGACTAAAGTATTATTTCCTCAATTGTTTGCTGTTGAAAATGCCAAATATTAAAAATTACAACCAATTTAAGAACATAGATGAATTTTATATAT